ATGCTGCCAGTCACAGGGAGGGCCACGTCTGGGCCCGTCGCATTGTCCTCGGCGCACAACCTTCGATTGCGCGTCGCGCGAGGGGCTCGGGGAATGTTCGGACCGCCCGGACCCGGGCGTCCTGGGAGTTTCTGGTCAACGGCGCGGAAGACAGCACGCGCTGCGGCCCCACCGAAGGTGCTGCCCTGGCCTCAATTCGCGTGCTCGTCACACGGCTTAGGTGTGATTCCCCCGGCGAAGCTGACTCCGCCATCTTCCTTTGCCCTCTTCCTTGAAACGACCCATCTCCCCCGAGTCTCCCGCGGGGGCGGCGCCCACCTCGAGCGGGGCCTGCGCGGGCTGGGCCGACGCGTCCATGGGCTTCTCATGAGTGCAAGAGCAATATTTGTTTTGTTCCCTACCTAGGCTCTGCCTAGAAGGGTCCTCGCTCTCTTAGCTTAAAGGGCCGGGCAGTGGGAACCGGCCCGGGCGGTTCCCCCAGTATCCGCCCCGCAGTTCCCCCAGCTGCGTCCCCTTAGCTCACCGTTGCCTATCTCATCTTAACTTAGCTTATGTCATCGTAGCTTAGCTTAGCTTCATCTTAGCTCAGCTCAGGTCTAGCTTAGCTTAGCTTACCTTCATCTTAGCTTCGCTGAGCTTTAGCATAGCAGAGCACCGTATAGCGTAGCATAGCATATCATAGCATCGCCCAGCATAGCATAGCATAGTGCAACATAGCACAGCATAGCATAGCACATCATAGCATAACGCAGCACAGCACAGCATAGCATAGCGCAGCTTAGCATAGCACACATCATAGCACACCATAGCACACCATAACACAGCATAACATATCATAGCATAACATAACGCAGCATATCACAGCATAGCATAGCATAGTATAGCATAGCATAGCGCAGCATAGCATGCCATGGCATGGCATAGCAACTAATGCTGCTTTCCTATGGGCTCCAACTTCTAGGTCGGGTCGCACTGGGGTAATCTCGGCAAGGTGTCCTTTGGAGTCTTTCTCGCGCGTCCGTCCTGGGCGCCGCCTGCTCCATTCCCCAGCGAAGCCGAACCCGGGGCGCCCCCTGGCGCGGCGTCGCTGGCCTTCGTTCGCCCCCGTCGCCCGCGCTGGTTCAACGTCGTCATTCGAGAATCAAGATTCAAGTCCTCGCGTTCGCGATCTGGCATTTTCTGCAACTGGGCAATCAGACACTCGCGCGCGCGGGCCTCGTCTCCGATTTTGCTTTCGGAAAGATCATGCCAGGCATGCGCAGTATCAATATTAGGCGCACTCTAATTCGCGAGTGGTCGCAGCCATCTACGGAACGGGCGACGCGCCACCGCGCATATCGCGATTGACGGCCACCCATTCGCCGCGGACAAAGAACAAGCGACAATCTTGAGGAAGTCGCGGCAATAACCGGGCCGGCCATGCTCCGAGCGAACAGAAACCTAAGCGCATGCTGCGCGAATAATTTATCCACCCGTCAACAATCGAACTTCGTTTTGGACGCCTTGCTCCGTTGCGTCCATTTGGGCGACGAGATGGTCCTGTCGCGCAGGCAGGTCACTCTCCAGACGCGCCCGCTTGAAATTCTCAGCAAGATCTGATGCGACGAGCATGTCGAGGCGGGTGAGATGTCCTGAATACGTTTGCTTCGAAGCACGCACAGCCGGGCCCGCAGTCTCCACGGCGCAGGACCGGGCGCCAGCGGAGTCGGGCGAAGCCGAAATCACGCGCGCGGCGCGCAACATCCACGCCCCCAGCGCGTTGGCGCCCGGGGCTGGCCCCAATTTCACGCAATCGTCAATCATCAAGCGGATCAGGCGGAGGCGGAACGGCGTCCGTCTCCTCCGTCGCCGCCCCCGCTGGGCGGGCCATCGCTGGGCCCTTAGGGGGAACTGCGCTCGTTGGCGCCCCCGTTGTCCCCGTCGTCGGGGCCGCCCCCGCCACCCGCCCCCCTCGCCCCGGGTCGAGCCAGATTCGAAAAGAAATCGGCCGGGGCCTCTCGCGCCCTCCATGGGCTGAGCCAGAGGGCCGGGCGAATGCGCTGGAAGCCGCGACGACTGTGCCTCTGCGGGGAAAGATAGAAGGCCGTCTAGCACATTTTCTCAAGCAGCAAGGGGCGCGCGCCCCATGGCCGCGCGTCATTGCGACGGTGAAAGCATGGGCTAAGGCGTTATCCGACCGAGCTCGCTTCCTCTACACGAGGATTTGATCAAGCGTCTCCCTTTCTACATCGATGAAGGGCGAGTTCTGCGCGTCCGCGTCCAGCTGGCGAGGAGACCTATGTTTCTTTCTTCTCTGCCTCAGCCTCGGCATCCGCCTGTCTCCGAGAGCAAGGAGCGCATCGCTCGGTGCCAGCGTCTACGCGGCCGTTGCAGCATGGCGCGCCGCATTGGTTCAAATTTCCCGCGTCGACAGCAAATTGCAATTCCGCTTCTCCAGCGGGGCCTCGTCCCCGCCGGGCGACTGCGAGGTCTGCGGGCGCCCTGGGCGACTCGAGCTGCCCCGCCCCCGCTGCCACGCGGCTGAATCGGGGCAGGGGTCGGGCCACTCGGAGAAGGGGCCCCAGCGCTCCTGGGGCGACGCAGAGCCCCAGTGTCTGGATCTTGGGCGGCCAGAGGGTGCTCTCCGAGACCGCGGGTTGAACCTGGAGCGCGGTTGGCCTCTCTTGCCATTCAGTTCGCTCCTGGGCGATTTCTGCGCGGAGAGGTCCCAGCCTAGTTCGTGCGCTTTCCACGGCAGCATGCCCCCTGAGAAACGCCCGCTGGATTGCGGCGCGTGCCATCTCCCTTTCGCGCCGCGCAGCGCGGGCAGCCCCGGCCGTTCTTTCGCGTAAAAACTGCCGTCGCCTTATGCTCGGACATCGATGCAGCCACTCGGGACTGTTCTAATGCGCGCTGCATCTGTCCTTCCCTTTCAACCGCCTTCTCCGCCGTGCTATGTTCCTCCTCCGCGATGGCCACTCGAGCTGCCTGCTATGCCTTCTTCTTGCCATGCTCAAGTTCCTGCAGAAACAGATGAACTGCCTCTGGGGTCGCTCGTGAATCCGGGCGAGTATTCTGGGCAATCAATTGTTCTTTTTCTCGCTTGAACGTCTCCATTTGGATCTTCATGCGAGCAGCCGTCTGCTCGCTGGGGAGTCTTCCTCTCGCAGGGGCATTTTCTTGTTCTTTTTGCCGCTATGCAATAATGGTGATGCATTGAAAATTGTGCTCTCGCGCGTCGATGCAGCCCGCGCGTGGCCAGCAGACACCGCAGCGCATGCAGGTGACGGAGCACCCTCCGCATGCCGGCCCACGACAAGGACAGCTTCCCCTTCCCGCCTTTCCTGGGCACCGATTCTCCGCCGCCGTCGGGAAGTTGGGCCCCCGGGCCCAGCAGGTCACCGGGATCGAGAGTTTACTAGACGAGGATTGCCTTGAAGGGCTGCTGGAGCCGCGGCTACTTCTCGACGTAGTGCGACCTATCATGGGCGACCCGATCTCAGCACGTCTCACGGACATCGGGGGCGTCGGAGAGGGGGGGGGGCGTAATGCCCAGGTCTGTTGCCCACTTTTCCGTACCTCGAGCGTGACGGAATGAAACTGCCAGGTCAGGAATATCCTCGTCTACCGCCTTTTTTTTAAATACAGGAAAATGATATCCCGCTGCATGAGATCCGGCTGAGCGGGAAACCTGCACTGGCGAATCGCATGCCACCATGCTGTTTTCGGGTCGCCCGTCAATTTTTTCGGGAGCGATACATCCCCCGGCGGGCCCCTCGAATGGCCCATCCACTCGGGCTCCCGAAAGCTCAACATGTCAACTGGAGAATGAACAAATTATACGAGCTCCGCCCCTTGAGCCGACTGGTGTCAGAATGCCTGGAGAATGGTACAACCACTCTCTGGTATGCTGGTCTGTCCTTCTCGAAAGCTTCGTTGAGAGTCAGCTGAACCACCTGTTAAACCGGCAACATCGCTCGCTGCTTGGCGCGACGCTGCTTTGAGTGATGGATTCAAAGCGCGGATATCCGAATCCATTAATGCGGATAGATCTCGGCCAATACCCATAACTATCATGTTCGTGCTCTTTCTGTCAGTTCCGCTAACGATGCTAGAATAATTGAATCAACCCTGCCCGTGGCGATCGAACTGTGCGGATCATCATTCGGCATGTGGACCGAAGGCACGTTAGTCGCAAACGTATATTGTATATCACGGCGTGGCTGATTTGCCAAGTCACTATCATGAACTGATGCAGGACTTTCGGCTGGTAACCAATTCTTTTGGCAGAGGGTCGGGATATCCTGACATTATGATTGGTAGACGTTCTTGTTAAACTGTGGTTCTTTGGTATACTATCTCTACGGCCTGGATCTTCACGGACTCGGCCATTACGTAATAGGTATATCCGTTAAGCAATAGCTCGCACGCGAGATGGTGATGAAAACGCGCGGAGGGGATCGCGCGCGCCAGGCTTTTCACCTTCTCGCAGCCGAACTGGCTGCGGACCGCGCGATGACCAGCGGTAAAGTGTGACAAGGGCGGCGGCGGCGGCAGGCGACGGCAGGGACATAACCATATCACTGTTTTATCAAATTACTCCGTCTCTTCTGCATCCACCCCCCTATTCCTCATGCTCCTCCTGCGCTTCCTCCCCCTCAGTGCTACACACTATTGTCATGGTCCTCTTCATCATCGTTCGACCCCTTACCCCTCGTCTTCTACATCCTCCCTCCTCGCTCCTTTTCCTCATCAGCTTCACTCCTCTCTCCGCATCATCCCCCCTGCTCCCCTAGGTGTTAGCCCCGTGCTTCTCGTCATACATGACCAGCCCTCTGGGCGAAGGTGGTGCAGCAGGTTGTCACTTCCCTCTTCCAAAACTGCCCATTCTTCCTCCCGCTCGGGGAGACGTTCATGTTTTTCCCGATTAATAAACACCGTCACCCCCACCCGACCGGCGACAAACGGGGAACAATGCCACCACCTCCAAACAACCACCCCGATCAACAAACAATGCAAATTTACTTTGCGGCAAAATCTGGATCATGTTCGGGCACCCCTGGATCACATTGCTACAGTATTCTTAACCGAAAGAGAGGGGGGGCAACATACTGCCCGCTGAGCGCAGGGGCACCATCCCTGTCAAAAGCGCATGCAAACTGCACGTTGCGGCAAAACCTTGGACCATGCGCGGGCGCCCCTCGATCATACGCATTGTTATATGATGGGAGTGCCCTGGCACGCGAGGCGCACCTCGCGGGCGTTGCGCACTTGGCTGGCGCCTGCATTGGTTCCTGGCGGTTGCCGATGGCGGCCCATGCCCATGCTCTACTCGAGTGGCGGGAGGGCGGGTGTGAGCGAGCGAGACGGCCGTCCTTTGGGGGAGGCAGCTTCACCCTCACCCTACCCCTTTACCCGCAGCTGCTTCTGGAACACGCAGCGACCCGTCCAAAGCAAGTGCGCCAAAATGCTTCCGATGGGCCGTTCCTCCCGGGTGAACGGTTCAACGCCGCAAGGCGACCTGGATAAGTGATGGGGTTCCAGCTGCCCCCGCAGCCGTTGGGCTCCGCGATGAGGCACTTCTCCTGCGGCAGAACCCCTCTCTCCGAGGGAGCGGGGTAAGCTCAGAACGAACGTACGGCGGGTTCGTGTCGTGATGACGTGCGCGCTAGTTTCCGACACCGCACGGATCGTTCAACCCTGAGCGATCGCCTGCTTTCCGACCGCCAGATCGTTCCACATTGGCAGATTCTGGGCCACCGGCGGCGTTCAACCTTGAACGCCCGCGGCGGGGTCGTTGCGGCGTCGGCACGACACGAACCTGCCGCACGCTGCTGCCCAATCCGAGCCTGTGAATGCGCACTCGCGGCTGCCCTTGCGAACCTCCAGCTCTTTCCTTCCTCTTCTTCTCTCTCCTCCTTCCTGACGACCAGCCCCTGGATGTTTTCCGTGGGAAATGCCCCCAGGATATCCCCAAGCACAGCATAGCCAAGAGTGGGCTTCCGGGAAGATGGGTCCTGACGGTGAGTGCGGGAGGAAGAGCACACCAAGCCAGGGCATCTCGGAACCCGAGGCTCCGAGGATGGCTCTCCGTGGGCCATGGGGCGCACCCGACGTTTTTGAGGGCAACCCCTCCCCGGCACCTCCCCAGCATCGCCGGTGGGTTTGCCGTGGTCGCCCAGAGCTGTCCCGGGCGACCCAGGCACCCAGGCCAGGGTGCACTGCCCCCCCCGCCAGCCAAGGCAAGCCCTGCATGAGGCCCGAAGCAACCTCAAGCGCCGACCGTAGTGGCCAGCGAAGACCATGCGGCTCCGAACACACGCCTCCACCCCGTAAAACAAACGGACTGTTCGAGACATCTCCACAATCTGGCCGCGAACGGGCACGTGACACACACTTCATCGGCAGAGCACCAACCCGCTTCACCAGGCACGGTCGAACCGCGCCCGGCCCTGGCGACAAGAAATGCCCCGAGAACACCGTATGCGACACTGGCTGGAAACCCACGCGGCATCTCTTTGCCACGAACTGTGGGAGCGCCCCAGGCCAAACTGACCAGATCACCTCGCGGGCGGCATCTTCAAACCCAGCGCAGCGACGAAAACGGACGCGGCAACCTCATGTCACGGCATTCCCTAACTCAAGAACTTCGACAACGTTTCAAGCAATATGGGCCGGACCACCTCTCGCGCGGTGTCTTGGGGCTCAGAATTCCGAGGATGTCTCCAGCGAAACGGGCCGGACCGTGTCAAATCTGGTCGTCTCGGAACGCAGCCTTGCCTCGATGCCTCGTGTGAAACGGTCCGATCCACCTCAGCATTTTGCCCATGTCTCGACGCACGGGCCCTCCGGGCGGCATTCGTTCATACAGTCGGCCCTGATTAGTAGGTCGACCCTGCCAGCTCAGGGGTACCCTTGTGTCCTGTGCCTCGCGACACGTGCCTTCTGTGGCACGCGAGAGGGCACAAGACCCTTCCGAAGGCCACGTCGACATAGGAGTGTAAGAAGGCACGTGTCGCGAGGCACAGGACACAAGGGTACCCTTGAGCTGGCAGGGTCGGCCTACTAATCAGGGCCGACTGTGCCCAATGTTCGTACTTCCTCGATCCGCCTTAGCGACGATTCGAAGCGGGTCTTGCGCGAGACGACGTGGCGACCTTACGCCGCAGCTTACGCGGGCCGCCAGCGCGGCACGCCACACTGGAGACGAGGCCCTGCGCAGGCAGCTGGCGCGCCAATGCCGGCGCAAACGACCCCGCTTTCCTGCGCCGCTCACCTCCTCCTCCCCCTTCCCTGATGGACGAAGAGCGGTATAAGCTGGCATGGTATCCGCAGTCGGGGGGCGCCTGCCTGGCAGTACTTCTACCCCTGCGGTGACACGTCAGGGTATCAACTCCCCAGCCGCCCTCGAGCAAGCGTCCCCGATACACTCGACCAGGATAGTAAGGATGCGCGTTAAGGATGCAAAGGCCTTGAAACGCCATGTTGACGTTTTCAGTGCGGAGCGCAGCAGGATGCCGAAGGATGCCAAATACCGAAGGGGCAAGGATGCAAGGGTAGCCTTGGAAAGTTGCCCCATCCTTGTTATCATGGTTGACTGTACCTGTCGGTCAGAAGAAATGGGTAGAAACATGCAATCGGAAGGCGTTGGAAGTAGATTGGGCCTCCGCCCGCCCCCTGAAGAGGAGGGAACAAGGGCAACCACTCGATCCTTGCAGTACAACAGGAAGGCGCCGAAAGTAGCTTGGAACCTGGGAACCCAGAAACACCTACTTTCAGCGACCGACGTGTAGCGGACACCACTATCTGCTACGGTTCTTCGTCCGCTCACTCCTTCCTCCCCCCCATCCTTCAGGACAGGCGCGGGGCTGCGGGCGCCCGCCCGCCCGTCCTCCAGGACGTCCCACACCGCCGGATCGTCGGAGGCGTCGTTCCATATCTGCTGCGGCGTGCACCACGACCCCTTGGTCGGGCGGGGGGAAGAGGGCAGGAGGAGGCGGGAGGTGGAAGTGGCGGGGTGGCGGGGGGGAAGCCGGGCGAGGAGCAAGACGGCCCATGACGGGCTCACGGCCGCTCGCTCCAGCGCGCCTGAAGCATGAAGTGCGTGATGCCATGCCGCCCGCCCCCTGCGGGAAAGATCATGCGTTTCCTGCATCCCCTTTCTGTGCCCTCCCAGCCCAGAGGTACGGTGAAACAGATACCAGAAAAAACAATAAGACTACAATCAGGAATCGACAGTACGGTGTCAGGCTCGTTTGGGTCCCTTGCGTTTTAAAGGAAAGAACATGACGTCCTCCATCTCCCCCTCCACCTCTTTCCTCCTCCGCGGTTTCGGGACACTAGCGGGGGCCTGCGCTTTCAAGGTTCATCATAAAGATGTTGCGTCGCCTTCTGTGTGTGGTGTGTGTTTGAGGCATCCGGCGCAACAGGAGCCTGGTGGAATCCCTCTGTGGACGGTTACGAATAATTTCCCCCTGTCTGGGTGGTCATATGTATGTATGTATACGTATGTATATATATATATATATATATATATGCATCTATGTATATACATATAATTGTATATGCCGACGCGGTCCACCTTGAGACGCGGTCCACCTTGAGACCTCCGTTGGCATGTCTTCCAGCGACTGCTCCACGGCAACGCAATTTCAGTGCTTGCGGTACAAGTAAAACGCCTGCAGAGCGTCGACGCGGCGGTTCTGCAGCGCGCGGTCGGCCTCAAGCTCGGCCGCGACCTTCTGCGAGACTGCGCCCTCCTCCGCCATCTTGCGCGTCAGCTCCTGGAGCTGCAGAGTCAAATCGTGGGTCGTCTGCTTGTCCTGCTTCCGCTGGCGCTGATTGTGGGTGCATCGGATGGCTGCCCAGAGAAGGTTGCTGCGCTCTTGCTTCTGGTCCGAAGCCGGCGGGGCGGCGCGACGAGATCGATGTCCTCGGTGCCCGCGGGCACCAGGATTTCATGCTTCTTGGTGCAATAGCTGTTCGATTCAGGTGTGATTGCGTCGAACTGTTCCCGATCGCTCTTCGCGAGCCTAGGTTCGTCGCTGAAAACAATGGCATTTGAGGAGATGCATGCGAGACTGCAGATCTGGATTCTCCCCGAGGAATCGCCGCATGCTATTGGGCCCCGTTGTCGGATAGATGTGCCGCATCTTGGTGCCACGCCAGAAAATACCTTCCTTCTTGTAGTATCTAAAAATCAATACCCTCGCACATGTGTTAGATCCACTGCACGAGAAACTTCGACTGGCGCGTGCCCGCGAACACCTCCATGTCCAACTGTTCTCGTCTTGGCGGAGAGGGTCCACCAGCCAGATCAGCACGCCAATCGGAGTTTCGCCAGCCACCACCCTGGAGGGCGTTGACACTGCAGACAGCCAAGGGTACCTCGGCGCACCACAGCCGAGTTGACATGGCGTCCAAGTCGGCGTAGAAGCTACCGCGCACGGGCTGGCGCTCGAGCTCCGACCTCGCCAGTTGCACCTGGACGCCAGCTTTTAGCTTGCCACTCTTCTGCGCGTCTCTGGAATGCTGCTGAAGGACCCCTCGAAATCGCAGCTTCTCGCTGATGGGAGCGCCTGCTCGTCGGCGCCCTCTGCGAGGACGCTGGGCGCCGCGGGGCCATGGAGGTTGCGTTTCTCGTGAAGCCCGCCAGGAAGTTCTGGCCAACTTCTCCATTAACGCCCATTGGGGCCTGGATTCCTTTTTCCTTGAAAACGTCTATGATGCGCCTGCCGTGCTCCAGTAAGAATTTGATTTCGTCGCAGTCAAGGCCGTCTGGCATGTCGCTTTTCTTTTGTATTTCGCCATCTGCCTGGCCCCGTCGAATCCTGGCCTCGTGGTGCCGAGCATATCCATTGGACCAAAGTGCGTGGTGTGTCGCCCCAGCCAGCCAACGTAGCGTTTTGCAGTCTCCATAGCTCTCTGCCGCTGGTGATAGATGTGCTCATCCTCTATACTGCGATCCTGATCATGCACTTCGAATGCGGCCTGGGCGTCTTGCCCGCGCGCATTGCGAATGCGCTCCTTGCGGTTTTGCGCCGTCAACTTGTGCGCTGCGTCCAGGACGCGGGCCTCGGTCTCTGCCCTGGCCTCCGGGGCAGCCCTGGGCTGCGCCTGGGGGGCTCCCGCGGCAGCCGCTGAGGCGGCGGCGGCGGCTCCCGCGACAGCCGCCAAGGCAGCAGCGGCGGCCCCCGCTGCAGGCGCCAAGGCGACGGGTGGCCGCTGGGCGGCCCGGGCGGCCCCGGCGGCCGCGGCGGGCTGGGTAGCCAGGGGCGGCCGGGGCGGCATGGGGCGCCGGGGGCTGGTGCCAGCCGCGGCGTCTGCCTCCTCGTCAGCCTGCGAAGAAATATTGTTCGTCTGGACATCATCCGTGGGCCTTGAAATCGGGCCGCGCACCTCGCCGCCCCAATCCATTGTCTGCTCCTCATCTTCCTCCGAAGCGCACAATCCGAAGGAGCGCTTCACGGGCGGCAGCCCCCTTGGCCCTGTCCTGGCTGATGGCCTTGGCCGGCGCTGCCGATGGCTCAAGGGGCGGCAACGCCTTGGGCTCTGTCCTGGCTGATGGCCCGGGCCGGCGCGAGCCACTCGCCCTTGAACCCCGCCATCAACAACATGGCAGAAGCTCCCTTGGCCAGCTCCATGCTGTCCTCCGCGCGCGCGTTCTAAAAAATGCCGCTCCTGAGCCACGATATTTTCGTGAATGCACCTTGGTGGCCCGCGTTGGCGAAGAAACTCCGTCGCAGGTTCCACGGCATTTCCAGCGTAGGGATCGACTGCGGTCATGATGCGCCAGGGCACGGAGCCCCTTCATGTGAGGAGAACTCCCATGTTTCGCAATGATTTGCCCAACCAACGCGACGCTTCTTTCAAATTGAAAATGGGATCTGAATAGGAACTGTTATCGCTCGTAGTAAAGAACTGAATTGTTCCTGCGCCTCCTGGGTCCACAGATCGATTACCAGAGTTCCGAACAGCTCCGAACAGTTCTCATCCTGAAGCATATGATAAGATACTGCTGTTGTTTGTCATCGCCGCGTTTGGCTTGCGTGAGCTCATGCCAGACCCTTGCTTCATACAATGAGAAGCTGCAATGAACTAATGGCGAACGTCTGTGGGATCCTTCTGACACAGCTCTCAAGACCTCAACGCGGAGTTTCTCGTCGTTTGGCGACAACATCATGGCTTCAGTCCAAGACCACGCAATATCACAACAATCGTCACGCATACGCGATGCAGGATGTGTCTCCCAATAACACTCGTTCCAGTCGCTTTCACTTGCAATCTGTTGAAGATGCCTGGTGTATGTAATTCCAAGGGATGCTGCGCGGGGTGCCTGCTGCCCCACGCGCCAGGCGCCTGGCTGATAGCCTCGGCCTGGGTGGACATGTGGCGCGCAAGTTTGGTACGTAACAATGCTTGGGTACGTATCAATGCTTGAGAGGAAACGGCAACGGTAGTGATGATCGCGGTGATGACGATGTTGGCGATAGTGGCGGTACGGCACGTAACGATGGTGACGAAAATGGCGGTACGTTACGATGGTGATGCGTTTGCTGATGGCGATGACGACGATGGTGGTGCGCCTCATAACGGCCATGGTGGTGATAACGCGAACGATGATGACGACGATGGCGGTGATGGCGGCGAGGATGAAGATGAACACAGCGACAAAAAACACGATGAACCTGCATTCATGCAGGTTCATAGTGCGACGATGGGCATGCGTGTATGCAGGCTCCCAAGCGGGCCAAAAAAGGAACACATGTGGAACAATTGGCTCGTCATCTACCGTAATAGTGCAAATAGTAATACTGTACACTCAACTACTAGTAATACCAGTCATACAAATCAAATACCAACACGAACCGTAAGACAAACAATGAGAAACATGATTATAGTAATACTGATAATGGTACGAATGCGAATTATATTATTATTGGCACGAATGACGAGCATAGCGATGAGTGCCATAGGAGTGATAAGAAGAACAATAATACTACGAATATGAAGACTCATACGTGATAAAGCGAGGAGCGAGACAAGTCGATGCTGAGAGGGAACGAAGAAGAAATAATGGGGTGTGGAACGGGATATATGCGTGGAGGGAGGCACCCGTGCGAACGGAAAACTGGCTCGCGAGAGTTAGCCCAAAGACAATTCGAAGTTCATCAAAACCGAAACCGAAACCGAAACCCAAACTGGAGTGCACAGAAAAGAGAGGGCGGGGCGTGAGGGGGGAGGGACACGGAACGAAGGAGGAGGGGGGATGACTCAAAGGCCAGGAGGGGTGATACTTAACAGGCGAGATAAGAGACATGAAGAGGTCATCCGTTAGCCAGTCAGTCAGTCAGTCAGCCAGGCAATCACACAAGGCTGTGGACGTCCTATGATCCACAATGATCTTGGCATCCACAGGCTCTAAGGGGTCGGCGTTGTGGCATAAGTCAATTAATCCACGTCCGGAGGTGACGTGCTGAGCGGCAGCGTTTTCCGGCGAACGCCTTACTGCAACGTATCCAATTTATCCAATGATTGCATACTTGCCACATGTTGTATTGTGTTACATTATTATGTCTCCCCCCTAACCCCCCCCTGGGAGCTGCGCCACACCGCCGGACCAAAGTGGCCCCCCCCCTCCCGGGGCTCAGAAACCTACCAAAACTTATAGAAAATCGATGATTTCGACCTCTTGGGCCTCTTGGGGGGCCGAGAGGGCGCCAAGACGGTTCAAGATGGGCTCTGTGCGGGCTTGAACGGCCCCGAGACGGTCCGAGATGGTTCCAAGAGGGCCCAAAAAGCCCAAATGACGGCCCAAGAGGGCCCCAAGAGCGCCCACAACTGCGCCTCCAGAGGCCAAAATCATTGATTTTCCTATGGTTTGGGCACTATTTTAACGTTCTCGCCTTTGCGGCCCAAGCAGCTTCGCAAATAGCTCCAGCACAACCCAAGAAGCCCCCAAGAGGGCCCCGAGACGGCCCAACAGAACCCCAAGACGGCCCAACGAGGCCCCCAAGACGGTCCAAGAGGCCCCTATGACGGCCCAAGAAGACCCCAAGACGGCCCCAAGGCGGCCGCGAGAGGCCCCCAAGACGGTTTCCGAAGGAGCGAAACAGGGCAAAAACGCCCCTAAAACCGCCAAA